GGGGGGGGCACCAGGGGCACTCGATGGAAGGAAGCAGGGGATCCGGACGAAAGATTTCGCGGCGACAGGGATTATCGCGGGCGGGCGGCAGTTGATGAGGACGCGAGCATCGACGCGGCCCTGCCTGCCTGTGCCAACACGGCGGCCCTGCGCCCCGCGGTGGCTCTGCGCCCGCGGGTCAGGCGAGGCGTGGCGGGGCGGGCGGGTGCGATAACGCGATTCGATTCGAATGGGCCCGGGCCACACAGTTGGCCGCAACGCCGGGCCACGCCGCCAAGGGCACCCTCGTGCAGGCGGCCGCCGCCAAACCTCAAATAGAAAAAAGGCTGGCTGGTGCTGGTGGCTGGTGCCTAGCACCCGTTGCTGAATGTGCCCACCATGACTATGGCCATGTACTCGTACGGCCCAGTACTTTGGGCAGCGCGCATCGAAGAGGGAAGACCGGGAAGACTCCCGGTGGTAGTGGGTAAAGGGGGGGAGGGGGAGGGCATGGGCCGCTCTGCTCCAACCAGCCCCCCAGCAGGACCGCGACAAGGAAACGGGTCATGGGGTTAAACTGCCGCCAATCAAACAGCACAAATCGTTCGACACTGCAACCACATGCCCGGCCGCGGGAGGACCCCAAACGAAACGCGGAGGTTATTTCGAGAGGCGGCCGCCGCGGACGTCGCTGCACCCGCCCTCCCGCCCGCGCCCCTTTACCGGGGGGCGCCCCGGCCGCGGGCACCGGCCAGACGCGACGCGGCCAGGGTCAAGAGACGACACATACAGTTGCTATTGGAACCGGGGGGTGGGGGCGGCATCGGACACCACCGCGGGACTCTAGGTGGTAACTAGCGAAAATTAGGACTTCCCCCTTGGACTAGACCGCACTAGCAAAAGCGCGCGAAGCACGTTACGACAACAGAGTTTTAAGCGAAAGCAGGACACGGCGCTAAAAACACAACTAGAGAACAGAGTTGGGCGGGGAGGTCCGAGGCGGAGGGAATGCGTTGCAACACGGCGGGGCGGGGGCGCAGCGAAACACGCGGAGGTCCTTTTCCCTAACCCTTGGCGCGTCGCCAGAAGACCGTAATTTTGGAAAAGGTTGGACGGTCGCTGGTAAAATGCGCGATGTTGTGCTTAGCTCGGCCGCGGCCGGTCGTGACTCGACTCGGGCCGTTCGTTGACGCGACGCGGGCCTCATAGCCTCGGCCAAGCCTCGGTCTCCCGGCCTCTCAGCCGGCGTCGGTTGAGACCGGCTGCGGCCAGTGCAGCCCGAGCCACTCTAGACCACTGTGGACCTTCCCTCCAGACACATAGGCATGCCCTCTGCACGGCCACGGCCAACGGCCGGCCCCGCCTGCCATCCAGCGGCAGCAGAACCAGAGGAGCGAGACAAGTCTCTGCTCACGTAACGGCGAACTTGAACTTGACCAAGGCGAGCGGCGCGAGCGGGCCGGACAAGTGTCGTGTGGTGGCGCGGGCGCGCGGCGGCACGCGACCGTACCGGAGAAGAGTCAGAGAGGCCGGGAGGCCGGGCGGGCTTCCCCCTAGACTGCCCCCGCGCCCCCACCCTCGCCCGGCTGAGAGAAACGATATACAGAAATATATCGCGGGGCATTAGCCCCCCAGCATGCGTTTTGGAAAGAAGGTAGGTCGCCGCTCAAAAAAAGGTCCAAGCGCGTTAAGCGGACGTTTTCTCAGCTTTAACCGGAATTTTACCTTGGCGGATGCTTCAGAGCTCTGCAACTGTTTGCCCTTCGCGCCGAGCTGCTGGCGCACCGCCACATTTGTAAAAACCAGCGCGGATGCCCAGAGGGGGTATACGGTGCATCCCAGACGGTCGCTATTTGGAAACCTTCCACTCTGCCCCTTCAACCTCAACCTCCCCTCATCCCTCTCGAAGAGACCATCTGTACGGCTATGACGAGGGCGAACAACAGGCTGTGATAAGTGAGCCGCCTGCAGCTGGGGGTAAAACCTACATCGATAGGGGGAAAATTGTGTCATCGGCTTTGAAAGGGGCCACTTTTGAGTTCCTCAAGAATTACTAGCAGAGTAGGATGATCTGATAGCCAGTGAGATTCCCGGTTTATTTGTATTTGGTCAAGGCATACTATTTTGAGGTCAGCTACTATTGGCACTCTACCTACCCCAACCCCAACCCGACAAAAGCAAAATGAGACTGGTACTTTGCAAAACTCTTCTCATACTAAGAGCAATTTAAACTGTATTTCGTTGAAAACACAACATTTAAAAACTAGATCAAGAAGATCGTTCTTTTAATAATTTAACACAAAGAAATCCGTGTGTTTTCCATGAAATTATTT